CCACTCTCCCTGCGGACCTCCCAGCCCTGTAATGAGGAGCCCCTCCGTCCGCAGAGGCCCCCAAATCCATGGGGAAGAGTCCCAGACCCCCCCCATGGCCTCTCTCTCCACAAAGACCCCCACATGGCCCCGCTCTTCATGGAGACTCCTCTGCGCTCAGACACCCCTGCATGGCCCAGTTCTCTGCAGAGACCCCCATGGCCCCTCTCTCCACAGAGACCCCCCCCCGTCCCCGGTTAGACCCTCAGGTGCCCCCATCCCTGTCTTTGCAGAGACCCCAACAGAGATCCCCCCGAGCCCCCATGCCGGGGGGCTCTGCTTGCAGCCCCTTCCCTTCTCTGAGCCCTCGCTGTGCTCTCTCTGTCCCAGGACCAGCTGCAGCAGAAGATCATCTGTCCCGGGCCTGTGACCTGCCTGACGGCCTCTCCCAACGGGCTCTACGTCCTGGCCGGGGTGGCCGAGAGCATCTACCTGTGGGAGGTACGGAGGTGCTGGGGCGCTCAGGCCACGCAGATTCACACCCTGCACAGGCAGGGAGCGTCCCCATCCCTCAAATGTTTGTAAATCCTGATCCTGGGGTGCCACACCAGGCACAGGCTGTGCTGCCCGCAGCCCGTGGGGCGGCTCATCGAAGCAGGAGTAGGAGGAATTCTGTAAGAGGCTTCACTCTCCCTCCTTCTTCTCTTTCCAGGCATCTCCGATGCCTCAGGGGTGGAGCATTGCTCCTATGAGGCAGCAGCTCAGGACCTGGTTTTCCTTCAGCTCTTGTCCCACATTTCAGATGTTTATTTGTGTGTGCCCAGGGTGCCAGCAGCCCCTGCTGTGCTCTGGTCACTGTCCTGCTGGTTAATTACTGCTGGATTACTCGGGATTACGCTGCGTTCCCAGCACACCACTGAGCAAATAAAAGCAGTAGTTTGTCCTGAGCCTGGGATTAAACCCCAGGATGCCTCACCTGGAGAGCTCCCCATGCCAGGGGAGGTTTGAGCCTCATTATGTGGGTGGCTCTACCCGAACCCATCAGGGTTTGTTTGTACCAATGTGCTTGTAGCAGTGCTGGAATAAAATCCCCGAGGCTGAGCCTGCAGTGGGATCTGCTGCCTGTGATGGTCCAAGCTGGGCCCTGCTCCAGTTCCCATCACCCATAGGTGTGTTCCAGAGTATGGCACTGTCCCTGTGGCACGTTGGAGAGGCTCCATGGAAACCATCATGGAGCTGGAACCAGCCCCTAGGGCCCTGGTTTTGTGCTGTCTATGAAACCCCTTGAACTGAGGTTTGGTTCAATTTTTTGGTGTAATTCAGAGCATGGGAAAAAAGTAGACTCTTATTTTATTTGAGGCTTTTTCTCTTTTTGATTCCCTCCCCATCTGCAGTGTTGCCTTTTAATAAGAAATGCTCTGGCTTTGGGGAATTCCTTGCCCACCCTAAAGCCTCTGCTGGCCCAGGACCACAAGCCACCCCTGGGGTGTCGTGGAGTTCTCATAACCCTGCTGCTCCTTCCTGAGGACCTGTGGGAGGAGGGAAGAAACCTCCAAAATAATATGAATGTTAAGAGTGAACAAGAAATCTTTACTGCACACTTGTGACTTGACCAGAGGAACAGCTCTGGCATCACTGGGCTCCAGAGTTAATGTGCCAGGACCTCTTCCACTGCTGTGTGCTGAATTTCCCTGTGGTCCTGAGTGCAGGCTGTTGTTCCAGCTGTACCTCAGTCAGGCACTGTCCCAGGGTGCCAACAGGCTCATGGCAACAACAGAACCTACCTTCTCCCCTCACCTAGGGCAGGGCACCACATTATCCCAAGACATCCTTGACAGCCTCCTGCCCTTCCCCTCACTCCAGGTGTCCAACGGGAACCTCCTCGCCATCCTGAACCGACACTACCAGGACCTCACGTGCCTCTGCTTCACTGATGACAGCAGCCACTTCCTCTCAGGGGCCAAGGACTGCCTGGCCCTGGTGTGGAACCTCTACAGGTATGTTGGGCTGGGGGCACAGGGATTTTGGAGCAGGAGATCCCTCTAAGCCCACAGCTGCATCTCTGCCCTCCTTATGGGCAGGGAGCCTTTCCTTGGGGTCTCACCTGGGCTTCTTGGGAACAGGCATATGGCTCTGACTTCTTTCCCTGGGTGAAACAGGGGGGGTTGTGCCCTTTACCGAGGCTCTTTGTCCCTCTGGGATAGGGATCTCAGCCTCGGTATCCGTGAGCCATGGCTTCCAGCAGCTCCCGTGTCCCACTTGGTCCCTGCAGCCAGGAGAGGGGTTCCCAGTGAGAGCAGAGCCTGGCCCAGCTCCCCATGGGGCTCTGTCCTGGCTGACCTGCCTGTCTCTGCTCTCCCCACAGCGTGTTGCAGGCAGAGCCCTCCCAGATCCCTGACCCCCGGCACGTCTGGTCCCGGCACAGCCTCCCCATCACCGACCTGTGCTGCGGCTTTGGAGGGCCCCTGGCACGGGCTGCCACTGCCTCCCTCGACCAGACAGCCAAGGTGAGGCTCATTTTGGAGGTGCCAGACCCTGCGGGGTCAAAGCCGGGCTCCTGCCAGGTAGCAGGAAGCTGTCCCTGTCCCCAAGCTGTCCCGAAGCTTTGCTGGGTTGCAGTGGCTTAATTTCTTGGCTGTCTCTGCAATGACTCAGAGCTGCCAGACCTGGGCTCTGCCTTTCCAACAACAGCAGTTTCTCTGCACCTGCCCCCAGGCTGGACTGCTGCAGTCCCTGTTGTCCTGGGAATGTCGGGGTCAGCTCCTCTGTTTCCCATTGCTGATGTCCACAGGGAGCGGAGCAGGCTGGAGCCTGTGGGGCAGGGGATGCCCTGGGGGCAGGATGGCCACAGAGAGGGTTCAGAGCTGCTTTGAAGCTGCCTGGGAAACTTCTCTCCTGCTCCCAGAGAGGCAGATGCTTGGTTCTGCCTTGGTTCTGCCTTGGTTCTGCCTTGGTTCTGCCTTGGACTCAGTTTCCCAGCCACAGCCAGGAGAGGATGCAAGGGTGGAATGCTGGTGTGGGATGCCAGGATGTCAGCATTCCTCCAGTTCTGCCTTTGACATTCTCACCCCTGATTCTCCTGTCCCCTCTCACTCCAGCTCTGGGAAGTCTCCTCTGGGGAGCTCCTGCTTTCCGTGCTCTTCGACGTGGGGATCATGGCTGTGACTCTGGACCTCTCTGAGTACCACATGTTCTGCGGGGGCATGGATGGGTCCATCTTCCAGGTTGACCTCTGTGCCTGGGTGAGTGTGTGGGGCTGCAGGTGTGCCCTGTCACCCCGAGCCACTGTAACCTCCCTGTTGGCACTGGTGTGACCTGCCAGGGCACAGGAAGGCCTGGTTCTCCTGTGTCTCCTCTGCCCTCTCCAGACATGGTGATGAACCTACTGGATTCAGCCTTCCTGAATGTTAATCCCCCTCTCTTCCTTTCTTCCTTCCTTCATTTCTGCAGCCAGTTCAGAGAGACCGGACCTTCCAGTCAGAGCGGGAGAACACGAAGGTCTTCAAAGGGCACAGGTGAGGAACCAGACATACCTGCCAGCCACCATCTGCCCACCTCACCAGCTTCTGGCAGTCCTGGGGTCATCCTGAGTTTAAACATCCTCTTCCCCATTCCAGGAACCAGGTGACATGTCTGTCAGTCTCCACAGACGGCAGCCTCCTGCTCTCGGGCTCTCACGACGAAACCGTCCGGCTGTGGGACATCCAGAGCAAGCAGTGCCTGAAGACGATGAATCACAAAGGTAGGAATGTCCTTATCTCCAGAATCCTCGATGCCACAGGCTGCTGCTGTCTCACCTGTGCTGCCCTGGGCACTCCAGGTGTGTTTCTGCCCCTTGCTTCACACCCTGGGAAGGGCAGAGGCGTTGGAGGGAGCCTGAGCTGTCTGGAGCAGTGCTGTGACCTTGCCCCACGAGTTAACAACCCCCTGTGCACTGTCAGGAGTGAGTCATGGATTTCACCCTGTCGCTGAGGCCACACCGGATCCTCCTCCTTGTTTTCCCAAGGGAGCAGTCACCCCACATGCACCCCAGCTGTGTCTGGAGGGGAGACAGCTCTGTGACCCCAGCAGCGAGCGCCTGTGAGCTCATGGGGCCTGCAGTGAATCCCATATGAGCAGCTGTCTGGGATTTCAGTCTGATGGCTCCAGTAAATTGCAGGAGCAGCAGTTGGATGCCTCAGCTACTTCAGAGCAATGGGGGATTTACCCCTCCTGTTGCTAACTGTGTTCCTCCCCCAGCTGTGGTAGTTTCTGGCCCCTGGTGCTGCAGTGACCACTGGGGCTGCCTTGGGCATGGCCCAAACCCCTCCCAAAGGTGGTGGCGGGGAAAGCCAGACCCTGTTCCTCTGTGGTGGTTGAGCTGCTGCCTCAGGACGGTCTCTGGAAGCCAGGCTGCCTGCAAACCCTTTTTCTCTTCCCTTTGGCTGCCAAGGACGATCCCTAATTGGGACCCACTGCAGTGCCCATCCAGCCTGGTGCTGCTGGCACTAGAGGGTGAAAACAGACCAAATGGAGCTGTGACTCATCCGAGGAGGGGGGGCCGGGCTTTGGCTGGGAGCCGGGCACTGGAGTCCTCCTGAGGCTGCAGGGAAGAATGGACAGACCAGGCTCTTCCCAGGAGGAGCAGGACCAGGCTGACCCCAAGCTGTGGGTGCTCTGCAGCCTCTGCTGGCTCCCTGCTGGCTCCTTGGCACTGGCATGACTGTGCTGTGTGCTCAGGAATGGGCTGGGAGCCCAGCACCCCCGAGCTGTGCCCTGGGTCTGGAGTCCCCATGGGGCCCTGCAGCCTCCCAGTGCGGGGGAATCAGCTGCCCCAACCCAGCCCCCTCTCCGTGGATCCCTGTCCCTCCTTGGCCTCTCTGAGCAGTGGCATGAGCCCCCCAGCAAGGTCTGTCCCTGCTGCCAGTGTGTCCTGCTCGCTCCCCAAGGCAGAGGTGACAGGGTTGTGACGTGGTGATGTGACAGCAGCCTCTGGCCCGGTGTCCTCGGGACAGCGCGGTTCCTCCTCTTGCACGGGGGTGGCTGGGGGCACACAGGACCCACTGCCCTCCCCTCAATACTGCTGCAAATAAATGCAAGGAGCTGGAGTGTGGCTCAGGGCCAGGCAGGGGGCTGTGCCACCGAGGGTAGCTTGTCCTTGGTGGGGACAGAGCGGGTGGACTTTGAGAAGTCAGGCTGCTGCTCCTGGGTAATGAGCTGTGGAAATGCTGGCGAGGCAGGGCTGCTCCCGGTCACTCTGTGTGGCTGGCACCATTCTGGGGGGAAGCAGGAGACCTGTGGGATGAGGCTGGAAGCCAGCACTGCCCCCAGATCCCTCCAGGCCTCAATTCCCATCCTGTCACACGAGCTCCATCCTTGTCTCTGCAAACACAGCGTGGCACAGACCATCCCCAAAGGCTTGGTCCTGCAAGGCCACCCCGGGGTGCTCTGGCTGATGTGTGCTGCTGGCAGCTCTGTCTTGGAAGCTGGGTTATTTGTTTCTCCCCAGCTAAGCCCAGTCCCTGTGCCCAGGCTGGTCCAGGGTCACCCACTGCCTGCTGCCCCAGGCCTTGGGGCAAGGTGATCTGGTACAGGACTTGCATCTGCTCTGGGGCCCCAGAGTGGCTGTGGGGCTATGCCTGGGTGGTGACCTGGTTTGGGGAACTCTGAGTTCATTCCTGATATTTTCTCCTTTCCACCTTTCCTCTTGAGCTCCATGAGCTGCCAGTGCAGTGGGAATCTCACTGGTGGGCACTTGCCTCAGGAGCACAAACCCCTGGTCTTTAAGGAGGGAGTGAAGCCCTGAGTTGGCCAGGAACAGCTTTGGGGCCAGGCACTCAGAGCCGCTGCTCTGCTGGTGGGACCCACCCTTGGATCCTTGGAGGATCAGATTTAGGAGCAGGTTCTGGAGGGATAGATGGTGTCTGAGCCCTCGTTCATGTCAGAGCTGCTTGTGTCTGTCTGCTCTGCAGAGACCAAAATCCTCCAGCAGCTCTGAGCCTCCCTAGACCTTGTCATGTGTCCTCCCACACCCTTCTCCACAGCCCTGGCAGCCTCCTCTCCGGTGCAGGTGGCCCATCTTCACCTTTGCCTTTGGCCAGGGGAATGCCTGGCCGGGCTGCTGTGCCCACTGGAGGGGGGCTGGGGGCTGCTGTGCCTGACAGGGCGTGGGGAACAGCGGTGGGAGCTCTCAGCGAGCAGGAGCTGGGAGGGGGCGGCAGCAGCCGTGGGTAAATGCAGTAATTAACACGCTCATCAGCTCTGCCATTGAGAGCGGTGATGGATCGTGGCAGCAGGAGCTGCTGATGCTGCTGATGGATGGCGGCTCAGGGTGGGGGGAGCCGGGCTCTGCTCCCCCCCAGAGCTGCAAACAGGCCCAGAGAGTACAGCCCAGGCAGGGAGAGCTGCTGGGGAGGGTGGAGAACCCCTGTTCCAGGGTCATACTCTGTTCTCAGGGCTGCCTGAGGCCTCTGCCTCTCAAACCCACCGGGGTCCAGCCTGACCTGTCCCCTCTGTCCAACACAGGTCCAGTGACAAACGCCTTCATCGTGCTGGCCCCTGCCAACATGTTCAACCCTGATGGGAAGCCCAGCGTGCCCCTGCCCAAGTTCAGCCGACACCTGCACGGCACCGAGAGCAGCGACGAGCCGGGCACTGAGGGGGTGACACTGCGCCTGGGGCTGCACCAGCAGGTGCTGGGGGCGAGCTGGGGAGGGGGGACACCCATCTGGGAGGGGTTGTGCCACAGCAAAGCTTCTCCTACAGCTGGTGAAACCCGTTCCTGCTCCCTCCTGCTTCCTCCCCATCCTGGCTGCTGCAGTCATTTGTCCTCCCAGCCCCGTGCTGCAGCGTGGGCTGGCTCTGCTGTCCCACCATTTCCTTGGTCCTGGCACGGGAGGCAGGGAGGGTCACACACCATCAGTGTCCCACCCATCCCAGCCGCTCTGCCAGTGGTCCCAGAGCTGCTCCCCTCTGCCAGCATCAGCCTCGGGGTGAGTGACAGTGAAAGTCCTGCCAGAGCTGATGGATAAGCTCCCTGTTGGCTTGGTGGCAGCAGGCCAAGGGGCTGTTTGCCTGGCAGAGGGGACAGCAGGATCACCCAGGGGCATGGGGAGAGGGTCTGTGCTCTGCCAACCCCTCCATTCTGGTCCCTGCAGGAGCCTGGGCAGAGCTACCTGGAGAAGGCAGAGAGGATGTACTCGCAGATGCACTCCACGAGGGAAAAGGTGAGAGCTGCACTCAGGCTGGGAATTGGGGGAATCATTGTCAGCTGATCTGACACAAGAGGCCCTGAGCAAGTTGGGAACGGGGGAAAAGAGCCCTGAAATCTATGAAAATCTATGAAATCTATGAAATCTATCCATGGTGACATGGGCAGGAGGGGCTGCACTTTGAGTAGGAGAGGAGAGAGGGGAGCGAAGGGTTCGGGGTTTACTGCTGGGGCGGGAGCAGCAGCCTGTGCCTGTCAGAGCTGAGGCCCTGACACTTTTCTGTTGTGTTTCTGTGTCACAGAACCTGGTGGGAGACCAGGAGCACCTGACGATCCAGGTGAGCGAGCTGGAGGAGGAGGTGAGCAACCTCCGGAAAATCAACAAGGACCTCTTTGACTTCTCCACTCGCATCATCACCAAACCAGCCAAGTGAAGAGGCTCCCCCCCGCCCTCGCACCCCTCCGCCTCTCCCTGTCCGGCTCCTGGGGAAGAACCTGCCCGCCCTCGGGCACCGCCCAGCCGGCTGCGAGCGCCCGGCTCACCTTCCCC